AAAAAAAAAAAAAAAAAAAGAAAAAATAAAGTCGTTTGAATCTACAGGTCGATAGGAGAGGCCTTTAAAAAAATTGAAAGAAGCCAGCAGCGTCGCACACCGGCACGTGTATGTATATATTCACGAAGGAGCGCACGCCGGCCCACCACGTGATTGCGCCTCCCCGCCCCGAACTCGCTGCTTTCATGCCAGAGACGGGGAAGCGAGTGAACGCACACTCGCCCACACACGTATACGAGCGCTCCTCGTGTTTCGCCAAACGGGAGAGAGAGAGAGAGAGAGAGAGAGAGAGAGAGAGAGAGAGAGAGAGAGAAAAGAGCGCTCGATGGATTTTGCACATGGCTGTCGGCGGGCGAGTCGTCGGGCACCGCCGATGTCTTTCCAGCATTTTTGTGTTTTTCCTCCCTTTCCCTTTGCTTCTTATATATATATATAATAACATATATACTGTGCTACCGATTCACAAGACTTTTTTTTTGTTTTTTTTTTTTTTTTTTTTTTCCTTACATTCGTTCTCGCTTCTCTTCTTTCGTACATCCCTTCCACTTTTGCTTGACGACTACGCCTTTTACACTGTCGCGTGTACAATATATATGTACACTCTTTCTTGAGATTTCGCTATACCAGCTGATTCGATTATAAGCACGTACCAACTTTTTTTTTCCCCCTTTTTTTTCCAAAGCTGTTGGAAATAAAAAGTTGAGCAACAGCTTCGTTTTTTTTTTTTTTTTTTTTCCTTTGATTTTAACTCGAATTTCTACAAAACTCGAGGAGCCGAGAGTTTACGGAATGTAAATGTCGTCCGTCTCTCGGGAAAAAGACAGCGCGAGAGTCCAAAAATCCTTGACGCGCTGTTCTCGCGCTCAGGGCCGAATTCGCCATTGGCTTCGTGCTCTTCTTGATATCGAGAGGTTTTTCAAGTTCAAATCAGTTTCAGGTAAAATTGTACCGTACAAGTGACGACTAAAAAATTTGGTTTTTTTATCATTGGTCACTAACAGCAAGAGAGTAATAAAAGAAAATCACATAATGGCAGCGAATACTCTTAATGTATGTATGGTTGTAACATACATTGTCAATATATAAAATTAAAATATTGCGTGTAAAACAAAGTGTATACTTGTATATACACGTGTGTAATGTCACAATGAGCGAAACGTGATGTTCTCGCTCCGAATCTCTTGTCAAAGCTTATCTTATCCGCGTGAGTTATCGCAAGAATTTTTTGCGAACCGGGACGCACGAGTATACGTACCATGAGAGAGAAGCGAAGAAGACTATGAAGAGGAATAATGAAAGAAAAAAAAAAAAAACGCCCCATACGCACGCATAGAGTGAGAATATGGTCTCTCGCTTCGGTTGGCACACATTACCTCGCGAAAGCTATCCTCGTCGCAAGAGGCGCACAAATCTCCTGTACACACAGGCCTGCCTGGGGGCGGCTGTATGGTTTTAAAAATAACACCCGGACGAAATCTCTTCAACTTTTTTTTTTCGTTTCTTTCTTCTTCTCACTCTCCTTCGCCATTATGCAAGAGGGGCGAGGTCTTCTTTTCGCCCCACACATCGTGCACGCGTAGCGAAAATGTAAAAATAAAGAGCGATGTGGAGCATAGAACTCATCGTGACGGGGTAAAGAGGGTGTATCGGCGGAGGATCGGTCGGAGCACGGCGTGTGCAGTGTCTTGGACTGCAAAATCCAACGAGCCTCTGTTGTTTAACATTTCTCATTTCTTTCATCGCGACTTTTCTCAAGTTTATTTGTTCGTTTTATTTTATTTTTTCAACTATTTTCAGCGATGTACCGTTACTTTCTTGTTTTTGTAACATTATTGGGTACGAAGGTACGCTTCGCCGAGAGAAAACGGGCTATAGTTTCAACATCCCTGCAAAAAATAATTAAAAAAAAATTTTTTAATCGTAATTTTTCCTTGTATATCAATTCACGGTTATCAATTTTAAATAATAGCTTAACTTTTTGACACAAAAAATTATGAAATACTACTTTTCATTCATTAATTAACAATAAAGATGAGTATAGCCGAATTCTATCGTGTTTTGTGACACACGTCTGCAACTATAATACGTGTGCCAAATTGTTCAAAACCTAATTTACATGGCCTAACGAGAACTAAATATCCACCCCAACCATATAATATATAATATACGTTTCACATATACATGCAATACAGTGTACATACAATTATACGTGATATAATGCAAGTGAGAAGTTACATTTAACCAATAATAGCATTGTACAATATATATATTTCCATCGAGTGATAAATGATATTGAAAATTGTGAAAAAACCAGGTGACAATAAATGAATAATTCAATAAAATTCTTACCATCTATGATGAGCTTCTCCTCGCAAAAGAACTCGTCCGGCTCCCGCTCCCTCTTTAGGCTCCTGGAAGCTGTAACAAAAAAATCATAGTTTTCATTAGAAAAAAAAAAAAATATATAATATATAAATCTAACAAAACCAATTTACATCGCTAACCTCCCCTACAACATCCTCATTAAAGGTGCAGATCGCAGGGCAAACTTATTTGATCAAAGCGAGATGTATACATCTCATGGGGGATGAACAGAACAGAATCCTCCAGTTCGAACTTACTTCCCCCTTCGAGTAAGTAAAAGCCGCATCGAGGATTTAACGTATCGACGCTAAAACCCGAGCTACCCCCCCCTCCGACCCTTTTTTCTTCTATTTTCCCTTACCAAAACGCACAACATAGGTATTGCAAAAACGATCCAGCTGGCATTCACGCGAAAGAAACGAGTGCGTAAGTACGCGGGGAGCGGTAAACAAAAAAAAAAAAAAAAAAAAAAAAAAAAGAAAAAAAAAAAAAAAA